CTGTACTAAAATTATTGCTAAAAAAATTCATTATATATATAAATTAGAACTATATGATAGATATAATATTCTAATATATGACATCCTAATGATATGATATTTTAACTAATATGATCAAAATGGATCTTCAAAGACTAACTAAAAATTATCAATATAATCTTTTCAAAAAATTTATTTTTTATGTAGATTTAACTAGGAAATATTTTTATTTAAAATATTAAAACATATAAATATTCTAATCTATTTGAACTTTTTCTCAGGAATAATGGTTATGATATGAATATTAAGACATAATACAGGATACTTTGGTCAAAATAAAAGTAAACTCAGTCAAGTCAAAGAAGCTTATCGCAGTGATTACAGTCTGATATAAAAGTTTATTTTATGTTTATATTTTAGGTATTGAAAAAGAATGTAATATAATAGCTCGTAATCTGTTTTCTAAACTTTAATAAATTTGGTTAGTAGTAGTTGCTACAACAACTACTAAAAAATGAATGTTTTGGGTTCGAGTTTGACTGCCTCCTGAAAAAATTTATTATTTTTCATTAAAACATGAGATATTGATTCCTTTTTATGTGACAGATTAGTAGTACATATGTAATACTTATGCCATATAATTGGATTTTGGCCAGCATTAAAGATACTTAAATTAGCTATTCAGAAACAAGAATTATGCAAAAAAAAAAATTAAAAGTATATTTAATGATAAAAAAAGTAAAATTATAAGTTTTTAAAACTAAGGATAGACTAAATTAGAGGATTTATAATTTCAGTTTAAGAGACTTTTTTAAAATTATATATAGTTAGATTATTTTTTTTAAAAAATTTTATTTATTTTTAATTTTAATAACTTTAATTATATTATTTTGAATTAATCCTTTTACATAGAATTTTTTTAGCTAATTGAAAAGCTTGCTTAATATAATACTAGTATTTTGAATAAATAAGTAATTCACATTATTTAAATTAAAATAAGTTATTCTTTTATTTGTATTTCTACCATAATAACGTTTATATCTTCCAGATTATTTATAAGATATTTCACTATACACAAGCAATATTAGATAATGGAAGTTGATGATTTCATATTCAAGTTTTAATAATAATATGACTAGATACATATGGGAGTGTTTCTAGGAAAATCAGGTTCTGAGAAATTTTTGACTAAAATTAAGAGCTTAATACATTTTAATCTAATTACATCAAAAACTAAAATGAAATAAAAATCTCAATTTTGCTAAAAAATTCCCAGAACCTAATTTTCCTAGCAATCTACCCATATAGTTTAACTTCAAAAATATTAGAAGGTGGATTTATAAAGTTATTTTATTTGTGATTTCAAAGCAATAAGTAAAATATCTTGTTATATATATTATCTAATCATATATAGTTGAAAGTTTGAATAGTTTGATTACATCATTTTTCTTATTCTGGTTACATAATGATGATTATTTATCTCTAAAGTACTAATCATTTTGTTTTCAGTAATTCCTAGTAATATAGTGTAATTCTAAAAATTGCTAACTTTTGACCCTAAACTAAGCTCTTCTCGATTTATCACTAATGGGATTCTTTTGATAGCAGAATAAATGATTTTTGCAAGAAGTAAAAGTACTTTCAAAGAATTACTGTAAAGGTTAAGAAATTTTGCTTCCAATATAAGCAGAAGAGGTCTTCTGATTTATCTTTATATATACTACTTTTCTTATTTAGAAAATTATAGTTTTAAGTCTCTACATATCCTAAGTAATGATAGAAAACTCCCAGCAAGTCTCTACATATATATAGCATTATAACTCTTATTATTTGTGATAAGTTTTATTCTGTTTCTTGATATTTGTTAAGATTTTTATTAAATATGTATTTATATAACAGGTAAGCTAATGAAATGAAAGAAAAATTAACCTTGAATAGAAGAATAATTAAACTAATTTCTTTATTTGACTCTCGATAATAATCATGTAAAATAATATATAAATTTGATTATAGCCTTTGATCTAATAGATAATGCTAGAAAAAATTATGACTTTGATTTCACTTGAAAGGAAATCTTAGAAAAAAACTTCTTTAGAGAGGACTCTTTAAAGAAAAAAGAAAATTAATTATACTGAAATGTTATCATTTACAAATGATATCAAAGAAAGTTGTTGACAAAACTGAATATGAATCTGAAATTTAATTAACGAAATCATACATTGTAATAAAACCTAAACTTATGTAGACATTCTAAAGTGATTGTAAGTAGAAATAGTTATATATGAATTATTTGACTTTTGAAGTTATTGGTAAACCAAAACTTAATTCTTATCAAAGAATTATTAAAATCTGTCAATAATATGAAAATTTTTTAGATTAATAATTTATACCTGATAGCAAGAATATAATCGATCAGACGATTTTGATTTTATAAATAATGCTTATTACAGTTTTGTTTGATATTCTTATAAGAAAATGAAAAAAAAACTTGATTTTTCAAAGCTAAAAGTAGAGGTTAGAATCTTTAACTGGTTAATTTGAGATGAACGTTAGGGACTAATTTAAGTTTACTTATAAATTTAGCATTGTGTAAAAACTTAGGGTTTTTTGGTCTAGATCATTTAGTTTATTCAAAATTTGTTAATAGACAATTGAATGACTTAAGTCTATTGAAAAATCACGAGATTTAAATAAGTTAAAAAGTTTATTTTATTGAACAATATTATTTAAACATATTTTGCTTAATTACTTGCTCTTTTTTTTTAGTTAACTGATTAACTAATTAGATTCTTTTGTTATTAAATAAACTTAGACTATTTAAAAGTAATTGGTAAGAAGTTTTAAAAACAGACTTTTCTCAGAAGTCAAATATATAGGAGATTTCGCAATATTTTGACGATCTTTCAGAATTTATAAGTTAGGATTCATTTGATATTCAAATAGAAATTTGAATTTTAATCAAATCTTATTTATCTGCCATTATATTATGATTGCATAAAGCTCATTAAATTAAAAATGATCAGAATCAATCTTAGATAAGTTGCTTTTTTTTTAAAAAAAAACTTTTAGAAATGTTATTAACATTTTCTTTTTCTTATTTTTAGGACTTTCAGCTTTTTTCTTGTTTTTTTAGAAATGTTAGAAAACATGTAAATTGAATAATGAAAAATTTGATTTTAATTATTTGATTGATCAAATATCACCTTATTGATGAATTCTTCTATAAAAGAAACTGTGGCTATAAAATCTTACACAACTAATTTTGATGATGATAATTCTCAAAACATAGTTATATATTTTAATTTGTAATCAATAATGGTCACTATTAGTTCAGAATCTTTAAAAACCAATTAATGGTGAAAAGAAAAAATATCTTTTAATACCAAATCTTATTGATTGTTCTGATAGTCATTGAACTCTGTATACTCAAATGTGTATATAGAAAATAAAAAGTTTTGTATATGAACTTGGTCTTAATTTTGCATATGAAAAAAGTTTATTAATAGAGTCAAATTGGAAATTAAGGTTTCAGTTAATTGAGACACCTTCTATTATGTCAAAGCCTGTGCCTAGTATTACTTAAAATGATATTCCATCTGTGACTTTTATATATCATATTAATTAGTAAGAGGGTTTTCGTTGTCTATGTATATTAACCTTAATTTTAAAGATAGTACATGTTTAATGCTTCATCTTCATAATAATCATATACATTTGAAATTTGGTACAAAGGTATTTCATTTTAAAATAATTTTTTTTTTGATAAATTGATGACATTTATTTCATAATAATAAATCAATCAGAGGTGCAAACATTTTGTAAAATAGCAAACAACCACAAAGTGAATACATAATTATTGTTAATTCAAAGATGACCTATTAGAGTTGGATTTTTTTTGATATTAATAAGTATGAAGGTAATAGGAATTCAAAACTATTTATGTATTCTATAAAGCAATACACAATATCACCTGTGGTATTATCATTATTGCTTTCACAAGCATTTTATTATTCTCATATCTTAATCTTAACTAATTTGGTGATTAAATCTGAATATATTTTATTTAATGTATATTCTAAAGTTGATTAAATAATTTGACTTCTTTATTAATGATCTCAATATTAAATTAACTAAATAAATACAAATTGAAAACTTCAGAAAAAAAATAATATAATATACTTTTTTTAATTAGCATTGTGAATTGAATTAAACCAGAAATCTTTTTGAATAAATAAATTTTATTATATCAGGTAGAAAACTGCATAGAATTTAGACGACGTTAAAATTTTTTTTTGGTATAAACATTATGTTTACAATAGTTTTCAATATCAGCTGCAAGCTTTCTTTCTTTTTTATTAAGTTGTGAATTTTTTATCTATTTTTGAAAACAAATTATAGGAATTTATAGTGAATTTTTTATAATTTAAAAAATATTTTTTATTGTCAAAAGAACATAAATAGGTCATTTGCTATTAATAATCAATTTATGAAACATGATTTTAATCTCGAATAATAAATTTAAATATTAAAAAAAAATCAATTATTTCTTTCATTTTTTTGGATTTCTCGTCTTGTTCATCATTTTTTTTTTCATTTTAATTTTTAAAGATTAAAATAGCGATTGACAAAAAATGAAACATGTGAAACAAAAAATAAAATAAATCAAAATTTATTTTTAATTAAATTAATCAAAATATATACTTTTTTTTTATTAAATATTATTATATAAATTTATTATTTTTAATTATAAATACATTTTTGTTTTGTTTACATCACTGATCTATTAATTATTAAAAGTCGCGTTATTATTTATTTTTACAACTCATTATGATTATTGATTTCTAAAAATAAATTATTGAAACGCGTTATTTTTTATTGAGACGCATTATTTTTTATTTTTAAATTCCCCTAAAAACAGCACCAGAAAAAGCTCGGGCACGTGATTTTGTGGCTTAGCTATCACATATGTTTTTATATAACTTAATTAACAATTATCACTAACTTTAATACTATAATACGAACTAACCTTAACCTAATGTTACGAAACTTGACAGTAAATGCTGCGCAGCCATTGGCTACGTGGCCTGCGGCCGGCTTACCTAACCAACCGGCCTTTTTCGAACCATTTAACACAACTAATTTAACCAACATTAACCCTAACCTAATGTTACGAATCTTGACCATAAATGTTACGAAGTTGTTGGCTGCATGGCCTGCGGCTGGCTTACCTAACCAATCGGCTCTTTTCGAACCATTTAATGCAACTAATTTAACCAATATTAACCCTAATCTAATGCTACGAAACTTGACAGTAAATGTTGCAAAGTTGTTGGCTGCGTGGCCTATGGCCAGCTTACCTAACCAACCGGCCCTTTTTGAACCATTTAATACAACTAATTTAACTAACATTAACCCTAACCTAATGCTACGAAACTTGACCGTAAATGTTGCAAAGTCATTAGTTGTGTAGCCTGCGGCCGGCTTACCTAACCAACCGGCTCTTTTCGAACCATTTAACACAACTAATTTAACCAACATTAATCCTAATCTAATGCTACGAAACTTGACCGTAAATGTTGCGAAGTCGTTGGCTGCGTGACCTATGGCTGGCTTACCTAACCAACCGGCCCTTTTTGAACCATTTAATACAATTAATCTAACCAACACAATTAATTAATTAAAATATTATTGTCAATGCAAATTATAATTTTATTAATTACTTTA